GCTGACTTGCGTTCAACTTGCTGTCCACTGGGACCCTTGGATTCTCTTCTGCAAACCTGCTTTCTAGCAATTTGGCTCTTAGTCTGTACAGTTACACAGAGTACCGCCATCCCAGGTGCAGGCCTTAGCATTTGCGTCTGGACTTCATGGAGTTCCTGACAGCCCATTTCTTCAGCCTGTCAAGGTCTCTATCGATAGCAGCCCTGCCCACCGGTGCATAGGCTCCTCCCCCTCGGTTGGTACCATCCACAGCCTTGCTGAGGGTGCACTCTGTCCCATCTTCCAGGTCTTTAATAAGGATGTTAAACACCATGGGCTTGGTACTGATTCCTGAAGGATGCCACAAGTAACAGCCACCAGTTGGACTTTGTACCCCTGATCACAACCCTTTGAGCCCAGTGGTCCAGGCACTTTTTCACCCAACTTATCTCCTGCTATCCAGTTTGTATCTCACCAATTTGGGAATCAGGTATGTGCAAGAGACTGTGTCAGAGGCCTTGCTAGAATGAATATAGTCCAAATATTACTTTTAGTCTTGCTACAGGCAACTAACTACTTGGCTGTATAAGCACAGTCCGCTCGTGGGAAATTAGTTCCTTTCTTGCAGTTTTTGCATCTTGCAATTTAAGATATGCTTTACAGAAATAGAAAGATGTATCTCTTACTGACTTGTAAAGGATATTAAGGTCATTGTTTTAGAAATGACAAAGGATCAGAAAAAGCAAAATTTTATAGAGGAAGAGAGAAAACTGCGATGGAGAACTCTCTGCAAGTTTGTTTAATACGTACTCGGGATTGGTTCAGGTTTTAAAATTTTAATTCATAATGGTCATTGTTTTTACAGATTTTCCTGTGTTTCTTTTTTTTTTAAAGAACTCAGTTTTCTTTATCTTTGACTTGATTTGATGAAAGCAGAGGGACAATATTTACATAAATAGCTAAGTGATCCCCAAGAAAAAACATTTTTTTCCATGAAGCATGATTATGAGGCATTTTAGAGGCCTTGCACATTAAATAGGATTTATGTATTTTTAAAATGAGAATGTGTCTTTTTAAAGAGAACAACAACTAAGTATTTTAAATTTGGAAATCAGAATAATGAACAAAGATAATAAACTCTATTTCCTAGGAAAGATCATAATAAATGTCATTGAGTATGTGTTCAGGTGTTGCCAATTGTAATTTGCTTTAAACTTTGCAATAACTGTTTTATATTGCAGTAGAAAATTGACTGAGGAACGTGCATGTAAATTTACTAGCCTAGGTGTCTTTAGCATGTTACTTATGACTTTCATAGTTTTAGATGTAACCGTAGTGCTCTATAAAAATACTTCAGCCGAGTACCTGGTCTGACACATTTGCCAACAGGGAAAAAGGAGCCTGGTTGTGCAAACTTCTATTTGTCCTGATCCAAGGTACATTGTGTAACAACTCCCATAAGCAGGACCTCAGCTTAAATTTTCTTAAGTTTTCTAGGCTTTACTTATGATACAAGCTAGTGGGAAAAGATATTTTTGTAAATGAGTGTTATTTGCTTTAAAAATCATCTCTCTAGATACATCATGAGTATTTTTAGTTTTCCACTGTTGTGACTGTTGTTTGGAATCACTCGTTAATGCTACAATGAATGGGCGTTTATCAAATCTCATACTATAACTATAGTTATTAGCACTTTTCGAATGTAACTCCCTTCCCACCCCCAGTATAATTTTGACTTAAAATGTTTGTCATCTGGTGTGAAGTGGATTTATGGGAGCGCAGTAGTTTTAGTGCCTTTTGGCCGGGTGTTTCTGATGACATCACTGTGATCTAGACACAGTGTGTGACTCTAGTTGGTTCCAGTGTTAAATAGTTTCATAATTATGCTAGTTTTGGCAGTTTGCTTGGAACTTTTTCCCATCTCTTTAATGAGCATGTTTTACTTGTGGGGTTATGAGACAGCCACATGTTTGAGAAATTAATAGTGTGCTCTTAAAGTTAACATTGAGCAGAAGTGTGCAGATACAGAAAGCTTTTGGATATACGTCTACGTAGGAAAGTAGCTCCTACAAGGTCATGGCCACTGTTATCATCTTCTGGTAATTAAAGAATACAACATTTGCTTTATAAAGTATCAGTAGCTGTTGTGAAAAATGGTGTGTGTGCACGCTCAAAAAAACCCCAGGCAGCTCTAAAACCTTTTTGATAATTATGTAAGGAAATTAATGGATGTTATCCCAGATTAAAAAAACCTTTTTCAAATGTTTGGTCAGGTTGAATTCTTCTTAAACATACGTATACTGTTACTTCATGTGGATTAAGTCACATAGGTATATTTCTGAGATAAATTTTTATGTGTTACATTTTGGCACCATCTTGGAACATGCACATTTTTGTTTTGATTACTTTTAGGTCCAACTTGCTCTAAATGGTTGCAACCATTTTCTGTCACAACAGACTTGTAGCTCGGGGAAATATAAGAAGCTTATTGTATTGAGTTTATTTATAGGTTAAGATTTGAAACTTTTTTTTCAAAATTAGCACAATCTAAGGGTTCTCTGCCCCTTTCCTTTAAAACACCCCCCCCTTCCACCCCTGAAACCTAGTGTGCTACTCTGTGTTCTTAACTCTCTGAAAGTGGTAAAAGCTTAAACCACTCTAATTTAATCTTTAAGTGTTAGTAATACTCTATATGATTAAAACATCATGTAGATTTTGCATGAAGTTATGAGAAGATTCATCAAACATGGTTGTGTCAGTATACAGACAGAAAAGTTAGACTTGAATGTGGGCAGGCTTGATACAGTTAACAGTTCAAAAATAGAATGCCTTCCCCAGCCCCCCTTCCTTTCTTTTTCTCTTAGCCAACATAAATATTAAAAGGCAAGCGTAATGTGATCTTATCAGATCAAATCATTAAAGAGTCACACCACAGCATTCTGTACAATCCCTAAGTGAGCTCAGGAGAGAAGGAAATGTGCTAATTGAGCTGTTTGGTCACTCTGACATCTTGGGTTTTTTTTGCAAGTTCAAAACATAAATAGCAGTATGGTGACTCATCTGAAAAAATATTTTCATGCTACATATAAACTAGTTTCCAAGAAAGAGGGTATGGTTAAAAGTTATTTCAAAAATTTTAGCTTAAAAGTCTATGATCTAATTTTTCTCAGCAAGCTGGAGATATGAAGGGGAGGTGAGCTTTTCTGATTACAAAATATACATGTAGATGAAGAGGCTTCCGTCACTCCAGGTTTAAAGATAAAGTAAGAACTTCAGGCTACCATTATTGCTCAGGTATGCCGTGAAGAGAGTGGTGGCTTTCTAATGAAATAGCACCGTAGCTAGAAGTTCTGAGAGTGTCTTCAGGAGACTCACATTCCTCGATGAAAAACATCAGAAGGTTGTCGGAGATATGAAAGCAAACAAATGCCCTCCAAACAGAGCTGATGCTAAACACCCATTTCATTTTTTCATTCATTGGAATGGGCAAGTCCTGTATGACTGAAATGGCCAAATAACCATAAGTTATTGAAACAGCTTGTTTCAATACTGTATTAATGACTGGAAAATCTCAAATCGTTTATGGTTACTCATCCTTCTTTTGGAAGCTGTCTTCTACCCTTCTTATGTATGAATGGGTCTGTCTTCTGCAATTTCTCTGAATAAGTTCCGCCTTTCCCCCTGCCCCACGCAGGGTAAGATTATATTGCTCATTATCTTTTTTCGTAGTGAAATGATATTTCCACTTTATCAGAGAATTTCCCTCTGTGCTCTGTTTTTCTAAATATCAAGTGGAAGGAAAGAAACTCTCTTCAATTGTTTTTGAAGTTGTAGACTTCTATTTAAAATGTATCATTACATGTAAACTTAATTTTGTTTATTTTTCATTCAAAACACATTAAGAAGCAAGTAATGTGAAGATTCCAGTTTGTAACTTCTCTGAGATTATTAAAAATGCCAGGCAGCATGCAGGGAAACACATAATCTATCCTGTACAAAACCCTAGCACAGTTTAAGCTGTTTGCTTTTTGGTGGTTAGAGGACTTTAAGAATATTATAGCTTCATACTGCAGTACTTGACATTTGTTCCCCAAACGTTTCTTTTTGTGAACACATTGTGTGATCCTAGTAGTGCCATGACCCAGAGAGCATTTTACTCTTTTTCTGCAAGAGACTACTCGAAGAGATAATTTGGCTGGGATCAAAAGTTGTAAGAATTTGTTTCCTCTCTAACCTGCTCTTCTAATACACTTACAAGAATATTTGTATTGCTTTTCTTGGCTTTCTTGCACTTGAGTCTTGTAGTTAAACTGTCATTCTGGAATGTAATGGGAATACTAGTCAGGTATTTAAAACCCTGAATTCAGCTAATTAAGATTTTCTTGTGTCTGTGAATTTTATTTTGTAAGGCTTATATCATATTCTCAAATTATGAGCCGTATTTCCTGCTTCTGAATTCCTTAAGGTGAATAAGCTATATAGAAGCTGAAGACGAGCAGGTGCCCTCAGTTCATTTATCTCTTCTGGGGCTATGTTTTACTATTTTAGAAGTCTGCAAAAATATTTTGCTTTGAATCATTTTCAATTAGCTGCACTAGGAAGGACATGACTGACATGACATCTCGGAACTGTCTGAGGTGGTTTCATGAGTAGGCATGTAAGCTCATAAAATTCCGTAGTTTCTCATATTTGTTTTAGTAGTCTGCAGGGCTCTGTCTCTGTTTGAAGGAATGTTTCAGCAGAAATACAGCTAGATGAAATGTGTTAAATTGGAATTAATAACTAAATGACTGTGGGTTTTTTTTTTTTTAAATAAAAGTCAGTGGAAGTATCAACAGCAAATAATTTTTTATGTTGTCCAGCTAGTTTTGTATTAATTTCTGTAATTAGATGGATGTATAGGATTGAATTAATGGAAAAAACAGTAACAGAATTTTAATTTACCAACTCGTTACCAAGTCATTCTGCTCATATTTATTTTCTTTTTGTTTGGTTGACTCAGTTGCTTTCTTTTCCTCTAGCAGGAAGACCACGAAAGTTGTGGTTCCAGTTCAACAAATCGCAGTACCACAGAAAGCATGAAATCGGCAGTAAAACCACGGCGAGTTCAGCAATCTGCTTCTCCTGACCCTGATTTACCTCCAGGTAATCCGTAATTTCAGAAGTTGGCTTGTATTTGGGTGATAGAAAATACCTAAATTTCATTCAGGTGGCCACAATGTCTAAGTTAGACTACTATATCTCTGTGCACCTACAAATCATGTACAGGTAAGTGAAATACTTCAATATTATAAAATAGGAACCAATTCGCAATGAAATGTAGTTAATTCTTATATCTTTTCCTTCCATTTTGTTGAATCCTTAAATTTATAGAACTCATTTATAGTGCAAGATAGGTTAGCATGAGAAACATTGTTGGGGTAGTGTGCTAGATTTTATCCTGTGGTTCTCCTGTTTCAGATCACTGTTTTCTACTGCTCATTAACTGCTCAGTGGTTCACATTAAGTTCGTCTCTTGTATATTTTCAGACATTTTCTTTTCAGATTCTTATAATGGTTTTAAAGGTAAGGTTTTCTCTTTGACAGTAATAATTCTGAGAGATGTTTTTTATCGAGTCCTGTATCTACTGGTAGAGATGTTCACCTCTTTTTTCTCTCTTTTTTTTTTTTTCTTTTTTTTTCCTGATGTGGAATTTGGCTCAGTTGAACTTGGAGATATTTATACGATATAAAAATGCCTAAGGAACTATATATATGATTACTATTGCCTCTGAGTTTGCACAGAAATTTGGAGTATGAGGTGGTGTTTTGTGCAGAAAAATGAAATTGGAGAGTACTGGCATGAATTGCAATTTGACTCTTGGGGCATGTCATTTTAGATGGGTTAAAGACATGACAGTTTTGTATTAGGCGTTTTTTCTGTCTTTTGTTAACAGAAAGTTTATACCTGTCTTGAATCAAAAGAGAACATTGAAATTTAGTGTGTGAAATATTATGTACTACAGAGTATCATCTTGCTTTGGAATGGGTACTTCAGGAGCCGGATCTAGAGGCTCTTAAAGCTCTGAGATCCAATAAACTCTGGTGGCTTGGAATTGCAGGACTCTTGGCATCCACCATGTCCTACCATGGACAGCGCTTTTGCTCTGGCAGTTCCTTGGCGTTTGGTTCTTTGGGTCTCACCTGTGAACAACAGGAGTCAAAGGCTTGCCAAAGAATTGTGTGATTATATTGCATTCACGAACAGTTTTAGGATTTTGGTTCCTCGAGTTTGTTTCTGTCAGAGTTATCTGTGGACCTCCCAGAAAAGTCTAGTCTTAATGAAATACCGGAGGTCTGCTTATTGTGAAGTTGACATCTGATGAAGTTAGAACATTCAAAAAGATATGTTTCCACACATCCAGATGCAACATGTGCATTGAAAATTGGTTTGCCTGTTGTCTTTTATGAGTATATTGTGGTTCTTAATGATTAGTGTGCTCATATGAACTGCACATACTGTATTTGCAGTACTGTAGCAAATTATCAGATCTGGTGCCTTCTTATGTTACTATTTGATAGATTCTGTAGATGTACTTTGTGCTTCTGTGAAACTGTAGGGCACTATCATCTCCTTCACTGTCATCACATTCCTTCTTCAACCACATAGAGTATGTTGGTAGTGAAATCTAATGATTCAGAGAGCATTAGTGAAATTTTACCTTATGGAATGGACTGTAAGTTACTTTCCATGTGACGAAGTTCTCGAAATACAGTTGACTTTAGTTTTGGTTTTTTGATGCATAAATAATGCTGTTTAATACAGGCATCCTGTGTGGTAAAGAGCTTCCATGAGGAGTAGAGGCCTCCTTACAGGAAGATTTTATTCTTTGTGGTGTAGGGTATGGCTTTGCTAAGCTTTAATTTGCGCATCCTGGATTTTAGGAAGATGTTGAATCATCTGCTTAGATTTGTTTTAGTTGTTGGATATAGGTATCGTACTACTGTTGTAATTTGTTGAAAGACTTGTTTGCCCTTTAGCTCTGCTGTGTTCTGAGAGATGGAGCTAGCCAGAGCTGAAAATGCAGCTTTGGTAACAATAGAGCGCTGCTAAACTTAAGTTGTTTAGATGTGATCAATCTGATGATACCAATTCTGTTGAATCAGTAGGCCACTCTGTGGACTATAGTGCTATAATATTTTGGAGAGTTGGATCTGAAACTGCATTTGTAGCTCTTACTGTACAGTGCAGCCTGCTGGGTTCTAGAGAATTTGGAGAAAGCATACATATGGATTTTGTGTTGCACCTCAGGAGATAATTTACCCCTATAGATTTTCTAGTATTTTTTGTCACTTCATTATAGAATACCGGAATTTTAGCAGCAAAGGTGGTCATAGTGTTATATTTAAAAATTACAGGAATAAGAAGCAATCCCCACCTGTTTTCTCCCACTTGTATTTAACCCCCGCCCCTTTTTTTAAAACTGTATTATACATGAACTTGCTGATGTTTTTATTACTTTGTTTTGAATAGTAAGAATAACGACTTAAATTCATTTTCTTAAAGGACTTTTCCTCACTCATTAGAATCTGATTCTAGCATATTTGAAGCTAAACTTAATTAGGAAGGTAGTACCTGTATGGTTCTTTTAATGATATACTGCACCACTAGTTTGGAAATGTCTTCGCAGAAATGTGAAACAAAGTTTTTATCAAATCTGTGACCCCTGTTTTATTTGGAAGATACAATTCTGCTCCCTCTTTGTATGCATGTGGGCAAAAAGACACACAGATGAAAGCATTGTTGCTTTTTTCCTGAATACTGCTGGAAACTGTCAGTAGAACTTGCCTCTTTTTTTTTTTCTCTTTTTTTTTTTTTTTTCCCCCTCCTTCTTCCCTCCTTCCCTGGATGCTGGATTTGTAATGTTTTTGTCATTCACAGCAGGAAAATGTAAATCAGATTGACTTTGAAAGACCCTTGACAGCAAAATAATGAAAAAACTTTGGACCTGTGGAGGGACAGCTTCACTTTCTTCAATGACATTAGTAGCTGGCTTTAAAATCATAATTAAATTACTGGTTATGATTTTACAGTTGCTAGTTATATAGTCTGCGAAATACTTCTATGCTGAACTTAAGAAAAGCAACTAACTTATTCTTAACAACAAGTTAGTCCACATGTTTTTCAGTTATTTTTTTTAATTGATCTGCTAAAAAGATAAATTCAGATTATGTTAGAAATCTGACAGTACTAAGCTACCAAAATTTTGACTTTCACTGGATTTCCTGTTTCTGTAGACAATGGTCTAAATTTTCCAGATTTTGTTTTAATACAATTACAGTCCTGTTAAGATGGCAGGAGATGTTAAAATGCTGTTTCTGTCCTGCTGGAACTAGCTTTGCTCAGAGGGTGATGTATGCTCAGGAATAGTATAAAATGAAGCAAGCTGAGTTATGATAAGAAACGTGATATGTGTTTTACAGTTAAGATTTTAATATTGAAATACATCTAAAACATAAGAATTGTGCCTGATCAGAATCAAAATATTCTGCTAATGGTAGCTGAAAGCCTGTTTTACATTTAATAAAAGAAGTGGTTGGAGGCTTTGAATGCTGAAAAAGGAAAAATGTCTCATGTCAACTGTGTAAATTTTCAGCTGTGGAACTCAAGAAAATCCCTTGTGTAATGGTAAAAGGTTCCGTATACTCTAAGGTGAAAAGTAATATTTGAGTGTGAAAACGATGAATAGCTAGAAAAAGCAGAGGAGAATGGAAGTAGCAACCTGAATCTGCTCCTACTGATCTCACAATGTTTTGATGTTCATTCTAAGTTTTATTTGAATTAAAATTGTTGGTATCAATGAGTTTTATTTAATGCAAGCTTCAGAAAACTACTCTTGAAGCCTGTGGATTTAAACCTGTATCATTAACTGGCTTTTTTTCAGTGTAGTTAGCAAACTAGACCTCTATAGCATGCATTAAATGTATTTTTAGGTAGAATGTGAGTAATGTTATAAATTTTAAAACACAGAAATTTTAAGGCTTGGTTTTTTTCCAGCACAAATGAGTTAGCTCCATAGTTACATTCAGTATACATAAAAGACATGAATATGGGTAGTATTTAATTTCTTTACCATATTGGTAAAATATGAGTGTTTACCGCATACTGGGAATTCACAGACGAGATCATTTTTCCAATCACATTATGTCTGAAAAAATTTAAATGGATTTCTTCCCAACAGGCTTCAGTGCAGGTGCTTACTATTTGGGTTGTTGACAGAAATTGATTTTGTTACACCTCACAGGGGTCTTACTGAGCATGATGTGGGTATATTAGCTTTCAGAATGAAAAAAAAAAAATATTACATATTAATGTTTAGTTAACTTTTAAAAAACTAGGTAAGGGGGCAAATAGGTGTAATACATGCATACTTGAAAAGTAGCCTAGCAGCTGGTGTTCACTTTCCCAAACCTATTTCTAAATATCTTTCAAGTAAAAAAGTCACTGTCATTAAAACTCTTTGTATACAATAATCCAGTCTTCTGTTTTGTTAAGAATCAACTTTCAAACTAATTGCCACCAAAAATTAATCTCTTACAGTATATTCCTAGTATTTAGAATTTTTTTTCAATAGTTTATTGCATTTTCAGGATACTGATTGACTTAACTGCACTGAATGTTAAGTTGTGTGATTTTTTTTTTTTCTTTAAATGAATAAAAGACAATGATACTTTGTTTCAATTTTGATTTTAAAAAAGAATACAAGTTGGAAATAATTAGTAATAAATGAATTTGGCATCATGTCTTCCTTATAACATCTAGGCATTTGTTTTATTTTATAGGTTATGTTCAGAGTTTGATTAGGCGTGTTGTAAACAATGTTAACATTGTGATCAACAATCTCATATTAAAATATGTGGAGGATGATATTGTTCTCTCAGTCAATATAACTTCTGCAGAATGCTATACAGTGGATGAGTTTTGGGATCGAGCATTTATGGACATCTCTGGTGAGTAGATATTTTTTGTTATTAGGTATCACGGTGGAGGTACTCTTCATATGGAAATTTGCATGTCTTATAAAAATGGCTCTTTATGTCAGAAGTAAGAAACTTTCTGCCTGTTTTCATTTCTTAATCAGTTTTTTCCCTTGTCCTTCATTCTGAAGACCCAATTACAATAATACAGATTGATTGTTAATGCATACTTGTATGATCACAGATAATTATACAACACGTTTTGTAGTCCTCTCTGCTCATACTTGCTATCCTTCTGTGATTGCATTTCATTTTGTGGTGGCTGGGGGCAGTGAGTGCTTGGGCAATCTGTTTCTGTGAATGAGCACTAGCATCTTCAGGCGTTCTGTTGCAGTTGTTTGTGGTGATCTTAAAGCTCTCTAAACAGGCTGGCTAGAGAGGTAGTAAAAGTTGCTGCACTGTAGTGAGCATGGCATACCAATTGCAAGACATGCTTAATTTCGCTTCTCATTTTCAGGAAAAAAAAAAAAACGCTTTTTGATTTTTATCTTGGTTTTCAGTATCTGAATGTCTCAGTCTTTGAATTACCAACATTCACCTGTAAGTCTAGGTGCTCTTACTGACATTTGGTAGAGGTGGAATTTGGGCACAGTAAGAATATTTTAAGATCACACAGAAGACCTCTGGTAGAATGGGGAATTTAATTAATGGTTTCCTGACCACTGGACCCATTTCTTTGTTCTGGCTAAAATTGCTGCAAACCAATACGACAAAATTACAAAATACGATTCATGTTATGATCACTGTAATAGCTCTTGTTTGCTTTGGAAGATTCAAAGGAAAACCTTGGGAAATTATGCAAGATTCTTTCTGGGAGAATAACGAGAATAATGTTTATTGGTCTTATGCATGCACATGAAGCCGTACTCTTATAAACAGATCTTATAGTGGAGGGTTGAAAATTTGAATTGGGTGTAACTAATTTGTCCTCACTTCTTAAGTATTCAGCTGAAAAAGTCTGTGACGTGTTAAATTACTGTCTTTAGTCACACAAGCAATTTCTTTGCTGATGATTTGAGTAACGACCACACAACTATCTTGTATTGTTTTCTTCTAGATAAGAACATGTATGCATAACTTATTTTTCTTATGCAATATATTGTTTTAACCTATATACTTCTTTTAAAAGCCACCGATCTGGTACTGAGAAAGATGATCAACTTTTCTGACTGCACAGTATGTCTTGATAAGAGAAATGCTAGTGGTAAAATTGAGTTTTACCAGGAACCTCTGCTGTACAAATGTTCCTTCAGGACTCGTCTGCATTTTACTTATGATAACCTCAACTCCAAAATGCCATCTATTATTAAAGTAGGTATCCAAAATAATATCTTTTGCCACTGACTTGTTAAGTTTTGAGGTTTTTCAAAATATACTTTGAAATTTAAAGTAAAATGAAAAGCTAATGCTGTTGTTTTTTGATAAAGGGATTTTTCGATTGTGTTTTGTTCATATGATGCAATTAGTCTTACGTACAGTAACAGCATGTAAGTAAGGAGGTAATGCTCTTTTTTTTCCCTATTTTTCTTGAAGTTTTAAAAAAGAAAACAATTGTAAGGGGGGGGGGAAGTCTGCAGATAATCCGTTAAAGAAAAAAAAATACCATATGCTTGCTTTAAGGTGCCTGCAATAAGATGGAAAGGATTTTTTACTTATGTTATTGTTTCAAATGTAGCTCAAAATCTCATGAATAACAAGAAACTTCAGTGTATTAACACTATGTAGGAACCATGTGAAATGGATTAGCAAGCCAAGCTCAGTCCCTAGTGTCAGATGGCCACGAGTAATATTGCACCCCTGCTCACTAAGTGACATGTTTACATTTGGCAGTGCAGAAGCAAAACACTGAGCTGGTGGAGAGACTAAACTACCTTTCACTCCTACCTTACCCCTCCACTGCCCCCGCTCTGAGTAGTCATGCATGTAAGGTTTGTCTTCCCTCCCTCCCTCCCTCTTTCAGTGAATACCAGTGGTGTCCATTTAATTAGTTGAGAACTCTATTAAATAAAGACACAGACTTTCTACCAGGCTTTTCCCAAGTTTTAATAAAAAAAAAAAATCTTCAGGTGTATGCACTGCAAAATAGTAAGTTTTGAGATAAATTTTGATGGGCATTTCTCAAGAATATGATTTAGAAGTGTCAGTCTTTCAGTTGGGATACTGTGTTTGTTTGACTCATGATACGATTCAGGAAGCCCTAAGCTGTTGTGAACTTTGGGTTGGAAGTTAATTAGTAATCATGTCCAATTTGTCAAATGCCCCGATTTCTTGTATGTGCTGTACAGCTGTATGCCTTTGATTACTTTGGGGAAATTTGGAGATTTGGGGAAATTTGGAGATTTGTGGATATGGTAATAGCCATATGGGTATGTATCCAGATAAGAATTGTCACAAAATGCTGGATACTTGCACACAAATGTCTGGTAGTATGTATGTTTACAGAAATTTCATTTTTTCATGTGCGGATCTTAATTTAATAATTAAATATACAAAGACTGATTCTGCATATTAGAAAGAAAAGGGTGCTCAATTAAATCAGAACATTTAGATATATGATGCTAGATTAATATTTAAGTGAATTAATAATTGTTTATTATGATCTGAAGAATAATGGTCCAAAGGTGATGATTTTTTAAATCTTAAATCTTTTCTAGTTTTTCACTACCATACCATTATGCAACAATTAGATCTACACATTTGTTGACCCTCACAAATTTTACCTTTGATAACTTTCTGATTTGTTGTATGCATGGAGGTTGTGTGCTATGGATCAGCAGAATGCATTTTTCTAAAAAGACTGTCTTTAAAATATTTAACTATTGGATGGAAATAGCTGTGTTTTCTTACAATTGAAGTAAAAGGAGCTGTTATCAGTAAATGTAACTATTTCATTAATGGAATTAATTCAAGGATGCTTAAAGCTTTTCAAAATCTCTGCTGCAAATGAAATTACTGTAGCTCAGTGTGTCTGAAGGGTAGATTACTGAATGCCAGCAGCTTGTGTTCTGGTGGTTTGCTTCCCAGCTAAAGACAAAAGCCAGCAGCACTCAATCTTTCTCTCCAAATCTGTTGAGATATTTTATAATGAAAACTTTCATACTCTATATTGTTCACTTGGTAAAGCACATCCGTTTTTCAGTCTTGAGTGAAAGCTCCCAAGACTTCCACATTTGTAATAGCATATGCTCTTTTGGTTTCTTCGTAGGGACTAGACTATTTTTATAACCTGTATAATTTCAACTACTACATCTATTGCAAAGTTTTGGCCAAACTAATCTTACTGCGTTTAATTAAAGTTAAGACTTCTCAAAGGAGGGTAGTTCTTAAGCACTTAGATATGTGTTTGTATGCTTTTAAATTGGAAACGCTAAGCTCCTATTTTCAATTTTAGAATGAAAATAGTATATGTGGCGGGAGGTGGTAAAACATACGTAAAATTATTAGTGTTCTAAGAATTTTGTTGCTTTTCTTGTTGAAATCATTGTAGGATGAGACAACCATAAGACAGATGAGCTGATTTGCACTGGGGATGTCAGTCCTGCCTCCCCCTATTTGCAGCAGCACTGACATGTGTCTGACCTGTCAGTCATCTAAGTCAACTCACTGTGGTGACAGAAAGCTAACTAGACAAGAAGAAATAAACAGTTTTCTGCCAGTTTTAGTGAGATGAGTCAACTTACTGAGGGGCAGATGAGTTCCGCTGGCAATGTAAGAGCAGGATCATGATGGGAGGGTAGTACCAAACAAGAAGGCCAGGAGTGTAACATAATTTCAGTTAAGCCACTATATAATTATGTTCATTGCCTACAGTGCTACCTAGTGTTCCTGTCCTCTGCTATGACATATGCCCATTGTGTGACTTTTAAAAAGGCTTCTGGCAAAATAATCTCTTTTTTTCTTCCAAATCTTAAGACAGTTATTTGCCTCTTATCCTTCCTGTTGTTCATCTGCACAGAAAAGATTTATTATTGACAACTTTTAATCAACTGGCCCTGAAAAATTGTATTGAAGGATTAATTTTTAGTTTCCAAAATGTGTCCTAGGATTTTAGATGCTGTTTCCTTTCAGAGAATTTTAAATAACAGCAGAATTCAGATATCTAAAATCTTTCCTCTAGTCTGTATAAATGACTGATACTATGTTGTCATTTGTTCTGTATGACTAAGGCTGTGGCTTTATTAATTTACTCATGTAAATTTATGAGTGCAGTCTTATTTGTATATTAGCATATTTTTATACACATATTTATTTTACTACTGTATTTTTACCTGCCCACGGATGTGCAGTACTGTTTACAAAGTAATTTTTCATGTTTCTTGAATTGGATTGTATTAAGGCCAGCACTGATCTGTAGTTACTTTCCATTTCCATTATTTTCACTTGCAACATGGAGCTAGAAATGTGTCTAACGTTACAGACAGTAATTTTATTACAATAATTTCATTTTATGCAGCGCTTATTTTAATGAAAGGTAGCTTTCTTATCAAGTCTGTTTTTCTTTATAGCATGATCACATACTCATAAAATTATTCTAAAGTGTTGAATAAAATAGCTAAAATATTTGAAGAAGGATAAATTTTCATCCTAGTAATTACAATCTTTGCAAAGTTTGCTTTCATTTGGAGAAAACTGCTTAATTGCATGTTTGAACTGGAATATCCAAAGAAGCTGTTTTTCTGTACTTCAGTTGGAATGAATCCCGCCCCCTTCTGTTAATTGTCCATTTGCAACAATGTTGGGAGTCGGAAAGAATCAAAGTGAAGGACCTTGTATATTAAAACCGGTATATCTAGGTTTTCTTTAGCATGCAGAGGTTTTTATGAAACTATAATGAAAAGTTTAATCAGATGCATTTACATGACATGTTTTAGAAATTTCTTCAGCAACAGTTGTTAAAAAAACCCAAATAGATGCAAAATACATTACATTTGACTTTTCAACCTGAAGATATCTTGTGTAGCAGCAACCCAAAGAGTGTATGTTTTTGACAGTCATTGTTTGCAGCCCTTTGCCTTGTGTTGTATTGCAGCTTTTGTTTTTAGAAATTAGAATGCACATACGAAATGAATATGGAGTTGTATAGTTTAAAAGTTGGCTTTAATGATGACAGAGCTCTTGTTATTATTTGCTTTTGTTTTCTTTCATGTTATAGATTCACACCTTAGTTGAAAGTTTGAAACTTTCAATCTCTGATCAGCAGCTTCCTATGTTTATACGTATAATGCAACTTGGGATTGCTCTTTATTATGGAGAAATAGGCAACTTGAAAGACGGGGAAAGTGAAGATTTGATTTGCCACACTAAAGATATGTTGGGAAATATCACAGGTAAATACAAATTTTACTTTGAAAAAAAAAGTTAGAAACATTAATTTCTTTGCTTTTTACAAATATAAATGACCAAGGCCAGTCATTGCAAAGTATCTCAGCAGTCTGCAGTTTGTTAGAGGCAGATCATTGTGCTGGGTAAGTATGCAGTGCTCTAACATGTTTTTCGTGTTATGTTCTGAAAAGTATTCTGATGGTCCTGAATAAACTGAGGTTAAACTTTACCTAAAAAGACCATTTTAAGAGTTCTGACAGAGGAGGGTACTTTGGATTTATCTGTCACTATATCGTGCAACAAGGCACCTGTCCTTAGGCAACTTTGACTTGTCTCTTTTATTTAGTTCAAATGTGGCTGCTGCTAGTTTCCAAGTGATGTGTTTTTCCATCTTCCTTTGAAACTTGTTACTGAGAATAGAGATACCGGCGTTTGTTCTAAGCAGCAAAGTATGATTTTGCACTATGTTTTCAGTAGTTCTGTCCTTTTACCTTGTCTATTCTCCTCTGCTTTTTATTTTCTTATAACATCTATTCCCTCTTCTACATGATCTTCCATGGTAACATACTGTGACGTGATCTTTTGAGGAGCATTGCACTGATGAGAGGTGAATTTTCTTTACCTTTTGTGTGATGGCTTCCCACCTGCTGCTTCCCTAATATTGCTAGTGTTACAACAGTGATGCATTTTGCACTGTGAACCTCTCGCTCCAGCCTCAATTTTATGTGGCTTTGCTAGGAGCTACCAACTTTGCTACTGTATTTTTATTTTTTCTAGTTGTATCATGTCATGTATTTGAGTGTTGAGGTTTTATGTTAGATGAATTGTTAGGAATTTGCAGCAACATAAGAAAGGCATATAGGTGCTTAGTTTATATTAAAATCTAAGGGAAATAAAATTTTTAAGCAGACATTGCAACTTAAATACTTTCCTGTTTATTCACTTCTGTGTAAAATATAAACACAGAAGATTCAAGAGTCAAGCAGTCATATTGACTTACATCGCACTATCTTTTTTTAGTAATTTGATCGGGAATATCATGATCTTGAGCATCCAAACTTGAATCTGAAGTTTTGGAATGTATCAGGCACTAAATAAAAGAGAAGAGGGAGGATGGACTGTCATTCCAAATTCTGAATTTTCTTGTTTTTATGATTTTGTAGAGCAGAAGTTAATTTACTTGTCAAAACAGGGAACTTATTTAGAGATTTGTGTTTTAATTTTAATGTCCTCAAGACATAAGTTTTGGCTATCTTTCCAAGGTTGAATTTGGATCTGGGGGAGTAGGAAGAGATATTTACCACACAGCCAAGAGCATGATAACTTCTAGAAAAATCTTGGAATCCTATGTGAAGGTGATGCAGCATTCTTAAGCTATGCTTATGTTCATAGTATTAAAACAGTTTGAAACTTTGTGTAAACTATAAAATTAATTCATTTTGTTCTGTTTAAGAAATATACAGTTCCATTTTACGTAAGAAGTTTATTATTTTTTTTATCCTGTGTTGCTGTCTCCTCTGGTTTCAGAGAGATAAATAGATTATTGGAAAAATGACAGCAGTGGAAAGTTTTTTTGCCAAAATATAGCCTTCAATGTTGGTTGGCACAGATAACTGTTTCACTATCGTGCCAGATGTAGAATTCTCTGTCATGCTCCTGCTATGTGGAACTGAGCAAATAAATAAAATGTCTGTAAATAGTTCTCTTATATTTTCTCTAAAGCTCAAATAGTTTTCTGCACTAGAAACTATTTGCCTTACAAGAAATGTGGAGTTTGTTACGTGAGACGTGATTAGAAGTACTTCATTAATATTCTGAAAATATTAACTTAATTTTCTCCTGAGACTTAAAAAGCATACAGCTTTTAGAAAAGTCATTAGTGTGCATTTTAAGAACTCCTTGCATCTAACCAATGTTTTAATTGTACTATTTGCAGGAGAAAGGGTGAAGAACTTGGTTCTGTAAAGAGTTGCATTACCCTTGCTTTCAGACAGAGGGTTGTCTTTGTACCATGAATATTTTTCTTTCATTCCCATCAAAGTTCACCCAAATTTATCCAAGTTTTCATGCCATAGAGAATTATGATGTATTTAGAGTTGTTTGAACTTTGTAGCTGGATTCCTGGAGCTACTAAGGTGAGTAAGACCATTTGAATATAGGAAAGACATTGAAAGAATAGAGGAATGATATGAGTCAATATGAGAACAGCTGGGACTGGTAGGCAGTGAGTTTCAGATGAAAAGATCTAAGGATTGGAGACAAAGGTTAGCTGGGTAATGAGAAGACTGGGATGAACAGCTGTAACTGTGGAAGAGGATAGAAGTTGGATAGGAGAGGTATGCAGGTTTTGTTTGGCTTCTTTTGGTTAGGGTATGAGACGGGTGGGGAAACAGAAATACAGTTTAAGCGAAGATTAAGGTTAAAATTTTGCCTACAAGTAGTCGGTCTTTTCTGCATCTGGAATGGAATTTGAGATTCTTACGTCCAAATATGAGTAAAATCTTTGGCAGTGTGTCTCTTGTCATCCTTATTTCTAACGTATGTCCTCAGGAAGGTTGAATTGCAGTTGCTGTCTGTAAATCTCATTTACATTCTTTTTTTGAACAGCTGTGAATGTGACTTCCTAGTGTTTTGTAAAATAGCCATCAAAAAGAAATAATATCATGTTACTACACACTGATGTACACAAGAGTTGTCAGAAGGGTCAGAAATTGGACTAAGGTTGCATTACAAGAACTACCAAGGAGGAAATCTGTAACTTCCTATGCAATTTTTGTTCAGCTATTCTGTGCTCAAACGTTGTCATTGTACTTAATTATATGATCATATCTATTTGACAGAACTCTCTCTTCCAGAACACAAAACAGATGGCAATTGTTGGGTGGCCAAGCCAGAGCTGTAGAAACAGTTCTAGAAGTCCATTTCTATCTTCACTGCAACATATTTTGCCACTTACAGGCTAAAACTGTTACCAGTTGTTTTCCTTCATACCATTTTTGCTTGTTTCCTGCGTAGAGTTTAATGTACACATAGGCATACATACACATGTGCACGTACACACACATAAATAAAACTTTCAAATATCTGATGATTTTTTTTCCTCTTGTTCAGTGCCGTTAAGCAGGAGTGCCAAATTGTCATTAACCAGGTTACCCATACCATCAGTCTGTGAATTTACTTTTTTCTTCTGACTTCATATTATATCTGTGTCTGAGAAGGAGAAAAAAAACCCCACTTTCTTAGCAATTCATGGTGCGTTTGTCATCCAAATTTCCAACCACAGATTTGAACTTTTCTGAGGAAACTTCGAATGTGCTACTGTTTTCAGAAAAAAATATGTAATCAAGTACAATAATAAATGACATGTATTATCTGCTGAGCTATATTAGCCACATTTTTTTCCAAGAGTAGTGCTTCATGAAATCCAAGACTAATTCCACTGGAATTGTGCCTAAATTCTTTACAGTTTAACAATGTACAGGCCTCCTTTATAGATTATATTTTTATAACTCTTTGAAAGGGTTCTGAAGATTCATTAAACAGTTTAACCCAGTATTTATTAGTAAGCAGTCCCTACCCTTTCAGTTTAAAGAATTTACTGGGTTCTGTTATCAGTAATTCTTAGTCTTTTGGATGGAATTTATTTTTATTATGTTGCTGTTGACATAATAAAATCAGTTACCTATCCATGTGTAAGAATATTTCAACAGCAGCTTGTTTGTTCTTGTATACCCAAACATAAGACCAAGACCTTGAGATTTGGCAGCAGGGTAGTCTGTCATGAACATAATTTTGCTCAAAAAAAAAAAAAAAAAGTCTTCTCAAATTCTGTTAAGCTGAAAGCATTCAAAATACACAGGTAAAATTGCAGGTCAGAAATACAGGTAGAAACTTGCTTTATTTTGGTATGTAAATTCACTTAGTACTGCATGGATACTGGACCATACTCCTGCTTACCGCTGGACAAGACTTTTGCTTCTGAGAGGTTGAAGGCTGCCTGAATTGTGGGCTTGGATGTCTGACTGTGTCTGACTATAGTGGTGTTGCGAAGGAGGAAATGGATGTATTTCAGTGCAGAGAGATAAAAAAGCAAGAAGGGTTTGGACAAGAGCCTGTGGCAGAACTAGCAGTTGTAGTTGTGGCAGGCTGGGACTTGAGAATAAGCTTTTGGTTTGTGGTGGAAAAAACTAGCTAGTGTGAACTAGAAATGAAAACGATTTAGGCATGAAAGAGGACAAGAAACCAGGATGCAAGGGAGACCTGGAATTTAGTTGGATGGAGTTGCTGAGGTTGATAATCTGAGGCTGAAATACTAGAGCTGGTTAAGTAAGTAATGATCTGAGAGGTTAGAAGAACAGAAAAAGCTCAAGCAGAGGAGGTCTGGTGCTTGCTGGGTGAAGAAATACAAACAGTGGACTAGAAATGAAAAGTTGTATGGCTGAGGGAAGAGTGCAAGGCAGGTGGACAGACAGCTGAGATGGGTCTGCATGATGATAAGAGATGCTGAGCAAGAAGCTTGGGAAGATGTGAGAAGCTGGAACCATGAGCAGTATGAGCCACTGAGCTTCTGAGAGTGATTTTAACAGTTTCTGGTGCTGCCTCCTCTGAATGATTGCCTTGAGATTCTGTACTACAAAAGTTGGTGGGTTTTTTTTCTTTCATGAAATGAAATCCATGGCAGATGAGATTCCATACAAATATGCATGCTTCTCAGGTGTAAAATGGCAATAATAACAGTACCTTTCCGTCCCAAAGGAATATTGTGAAATTTTCTAATATTTGTAAAGCTCACTGACACTATTGTGGCCCTTACTCTCAAAAAACCCTAAATGAAAATAAAGGCCTCTGTGAATGCCAGTAGTTAACACTTTTACAACACTAAACAGAATAAAATATTGCATAGATACTGTAAAAATTCAAATTTTTAATTGGCTGAAGTGCTCCTTATTGAAAACTTGGTGGTAAGAACAGTAGTGTA